TCGAAAAGCTTTGTTCGTATTCTTCAAATTTATAACGTTCGATAGATCGATTTAAAACTAAATTGTCAGTTCGTTAGGTTTTTCTTCTCTCATCAATTTAAAAATATAAAAATCTTCGTTTTGTTTTACGCATATATTTATTTAGATGAATATTATTGAAGAAATGCAAGATATTGAAGATGAACAAATATCTCCAATTATTCAAATATTTGAACGTCTTACATTTGAACGGGGTCATGAAGTTCAAGATCAAGTAACAGCTATAATTGAACTATTTTCATTATCAGATGTAAATTTTATTCTTTTTTTTTCAATTTATTCTCTCAAATAATTTTTATCCATCTACAGGTAACATTAGATATGTTAGACACATTAATTGATTGTATTAAAATTATTTTTGTTAATCAACATACAAATAAAAATATACGAATATTAGATTTTATAATAACATTAACACATGTAACACATATTAATTATACAAGTAATAAAAATTTAGCACTTGTTTTCGATACTTTAATTGATATTTTCAGTCAGGTAAAAGAAAAATAACAAAAAAATCTCGATTTTCAAATTTATTTTTATTTCTAGGCAATGATTGCTTTTGATAGTCAAATTCGTTGTACAACATTTCGTCTCTTAAATAAACTTCAAACATTTCTTGATCTTTCTCGATCACCTTATATACCAGGTCAATTTGAACAATATCTATTAGAATTACTTCGAAATGAAACAACATTTCTTGTTCTTGATGAAATTATACCATTAGCTGCGAAATTTCAACATAAAAATCATCGATTTATTGATGGTTAGTAAGATGATTATTATTATGAAAATAAACTTATTTGAACTTTTTTTTATAGCTTTTCTTGATAGAATAAATTCACCAAAATGGACTACATATTTAGATCGACGTCGTCAAATCATGTTATTACTTGAATATTCTTCTTCTTCTCTTCAATTTCTTTTGTCAACTATTGAAAATGATAATGATTTATCACAATTAGCTTTCGAAAGTTTATTAGCTGATGAACGAGGTTTTACACTTGATACCATCGGTAGACAAGGTCGTTTAACAATATTTAAAATAGCTAGTACATCTCATGATTTATCTCGTTTAATTTTTACTCG